CCTTGCTCCTTAGCCTACAGATGGCCTGTTGTGGGACCTTGTGATCATGGGAGTTAATACTTAATAAACTCATATATATGTATACACACACACACACACATATATATATACATATTCCATTATATATTCCATTAGTTTTGTCCCTCTAGAGAACCCTGACTAATACTGATTTTGGTACCAAGAGCCCTTCTAGAGGAACAGAATATTAAGGATGGAGTTGTTTCATTGATTTTGGGGTTTCTGCAGTTGGCTGCTTACTATGATTAGTACTCCAAAATGCTAATGACTCTACTTCCAATAGTATGGAGAACACTGATAGTCCTTGATGGGAATTGTTTAGCGAGTTATGCAAAATAAATGCATTTGACACGCCTGATTCATTACTCGTGAGAGGCAAGGAGTTTAGTGACTCTATACATAATACCTTTGACCATTATGTGGAGAACGAAGGAACATAACGAAGCTGGTTGGTTGCTGCTAATTTCCATGGACAAAGTGATGAAAGAAAATGATGAACTCAGCAATTCTATCTCCCAGCTTCAGAAGCAGATACTGAACCTCAAATCTGCTAAGCTTGCCCTGAGTGAGAGTCTTCTCTCCTATAGAGAAAGAGCTGAAATTGTGGAAAAATAGACACAAGCTCTTATCATGCAAGTGGCTCACCTGCAATCAAAGGTGCATGCACAGCCTTGCCAGGTGTCTACTGTTAAAGTGAGGGCATTGATTAGAAAAGAATCGGACCCTGCAACTTGGAATGGGGATATGTGGGATGACCCTGATGAAGCTCGGGACACTGAGTTTGTAAACTCTGATAAACCTTTTTTGCCAGAAGAAACAGCTTCCCCTTCCCCATCCCCAGTAGTGGCAACATCCCCTCCAAACCCATGCTGCCATCAGCCTTTCCGCCTTTGAGGAAATAAACCCTGCCCTGCCTAAGGCAACAGTGATGGCCTCCCCTGAAGCAGTTGCCGGGCAAGATAATGTTGATTCTCCTCAGGAGCCACCCCAGCACCTCCGTTTGCTTCTAAACCTATAACTATATATATTTTCCATTAGTTCTGTCACTTTAGAGAACCCTGACTAGTACAGGTTTCAACATATGAATTTTAGAGAGACAAAAACATTCAATATATAGGATATGTAAATAAACATTTCTCCACAGAAGACACACATATAGACAACAGGTATATGAAAAGATGTTCAACGTCAATAATCACCAGGGAAATGCGAATCAAAACCACAATGAGGTATCACCACATACCTGTTACAATGTCCATTACAAAAACAAATCCTATAACAAGCGTTGGCTAGGATGTGGAGAAATTGGAATACTTGCACTCTGTTGGTGGGCATGTAAACGCTGCAGCCGTTATGGAAAACAGTATGGAAGGTCCTCAAAATACTAAAAACGGAACTACCATAGGACCCAGAAATCCTGTTTGTGAATATGTGAGCTTGAAGGAGGTAATATAGCCAGTGGCTAAGGATACAGGCTCTATAGTCAAATTATCTGGTTTCAGAACCTGGTTTAACCACTTACTAGCTATGTAACCCTCAGCAAAGTACATAACTTCCCTGTGCCTCAGTTTCCTCATCTATAAATTGAAGAAAATAATAGTACCTCCCTCTCAGGGTTGTTTTTGGGGCTCAAATATGATAATTAATCCACATAAAGTCCTTAGAACAGTGTCTGGCATATAGTGAGCACTTAGTCCATGCGAGGTGGAGATGTGTGGCAGGCAGTTGGAGATCCACGGGTACAGACAGCAGTCGTCGGCATGGGGATGAAAGTGAGCATCCAGGAAGCATTCGCAGAGCAGGGTCCTCAACTAGGTCTACAGATGAGAAGCACCTGAGGAGCATTTTCAAAGTCCATGGGGGTTTGCAACCCTCATAGGGCGTGATTCTGTAGTGTTGAAGTATTCTCTAAAATCTTATTTTGATATATATCCCTAGGGGAAAGCCACTCATATGGAGCAAAAAGTGACCCTAGAAGAAGCTTCGCAAACAAGTACAGCATTTCAGAAGTGCACAAAGGGGATTGGGAAGAAATGAGTGGATGGTAAAAGGATGATAGAGGACAGCACAAATGGTGTGTGTGTCTGTATTGTCTTTGGGCTTGACCCAGTGTGGCTGATGTGTGAGTCCAGGTGTTGGTTCACCCCAGATGTCAACCCAGGCAGAAATCTGGACCTAGATTTGAGTCTTTTTGATGGCTGAGGGTTTCATAGAGGGCCCAGAACTGAGGGGTCCAGAGGAAGATCCTAGAAGGATGAGGAGAAAGGTAGCCAGGTGGCACCTCTGACCAGACTTTTCAGAGTCAAGAAGGTGGAAGACAGGGTTTCCCAAATTTTGCTGTTTTAGCAAAAGCATTTTTATTTATACTCAGGGCCCACAGCATGAGGTCATTCCAAATATGTACACTGCTTGATGTCCTGGGCCTGGGTTTTACCATTCTTTTTCATTCTCTCAGCTCCTGATTCATCACCAAAAACCTATGGATCCAAGAAAAAATTCCAGTTAGTGGATTGTCAGTGCCGAACCCTGGCAAACCAGGTAACAACTATGGGCCCAGGAAACTGAAGACAGCCTTCAATCCATAGTTACTGAGCATGTGCTGTGCATTCAACTCAGTACTGAAAGATAGGGATAAGGAGAGGAAGTGTGGACACACTGTCACCAAGAAATCGATGCCTCCTTCTCCTCCAAATCAGGAATAAAGAGCAAATCTCTATAGTTTGTCAGTTTGTGTCTAGCAGGAGGGGAAGCAGCGAGAACAGAAAACAATACGTGCCTGACCAGGTCGCTGCAAACTCTCCCCAGGGCCAGGAAAACTGGCTGGAGCTCAAGGAGAATCCTTAGGACTCTTCTGCACCTCTCTGGGACTGAGGTGTGGACTGAGCGGCCTCCCTGCGTGGAGCACACTACCATTGCCATCATCAGGACTATGACACCTTCATTCCTAACAGTTAGGTCGAGGACCTCTAGTATTAGAATTAGATTCCTAGACCTGCCTCAAATTTCCAACATCAAAACCTTGTTGGCAGAGCCCAGAAGATTTGCATTTTTAACAAGCTCCCAGGTGGCTAGGTGACTAAGCACAGCACCCAGCCTAGATTCTTCACATTACAGGGGCAGAAAGAGGATCCAGAATAATGCTAAGAGGTCAGCACAAGAACATTCTGGGCTCTTCATTCAGGAAAGGCGCTGGCTGGCCGAGGTCCTCAGGCATGTTGTGGACATGCAGTACTTAGCCCACTGCACTTTGTCCCTGCCACACATTCCAAGGTGGGATGAGCAGGGACAGAAGTAGGGTGCTGCCATCAGACAGACTTGAGCTCCACATCTAGCTCTAAACATAGCTCTGAATTCTGGCAATTATTCCATGTTTTTGAGTTTCAGTTTCTTACAATGAAAATTGATCATAGTATCTTTTTCTAAGAGTTTTGTGGGGATTAAATGACATAATGCATACCAAGCCCTTACCACAATGCCTGGTACAAAGAATGCACCAATGGATGTTACTTGACACTAATTTATCAACAGACTGTGACCTCCCAGAGGGCAGGCAACATACCAGACAGACCTGGCCCACAGAGGGCACTCAGTTAGTGTTTGTGGAACTGAAGAAAGCTATTAATTCTGTTGGCGCTAAACAAAGATCTGAGATTTCTGCAAATATAAAGTACACAAATACATAACCATAGAAAGGAACTGGGGTGCAGCTGCCCTTCCCCCACTTCCATGTCCCCGACCCCACTTTCTCTCCTCCCCTTCTTGTCCTTCTATTTCTCTTTTTTATTTTTGAGACAGGGTCTCACTGTCACTTTGTCACCCAGTCTGGAGTATGGTGGTACAATCTCAGCTCACTGCAGCCTCAACCTCCTGGGCTGAAGTGATTCTCCCACCTCAGCCTCCTGAGTAGTTGGGACCACAGGAATGGGCCACCATGCCCAGCTAATTTTTGTAGAGACAGGGTTTTGCCATGTTGCTCAGGCTGGTCTTGAACTCCTGGGTTCAAGCCAAGGCAGGGGTGAGGCACCATGCCCGGTGATAGCCCTTCCTTACTTTGTATATGACTTTCCTCCTTCATTTTATGTAATTATAATAACAAAAGCTAATAATTACTGGGTGCTAGCCACATGTCAGGCACTGTCCTCAGTTCTGCAGATGTATTATCCCAGTGAATCCTCACAACAACCTGGGAGGCTGACTACGGCACGATCCTCACTTTAAGATGAGTAAACTGAGGAACAGGGAGGTTAAGAGATTTTCCCCAAATCACACAACCTAAACATGACGGAACCAGGAAGGGAGGCCAAACAGACTTTGTGCTCCAGATGCTGGAGAAGTGTGAGTGTGTGTGCGCAGTGTTGTTTGTGATGTGGTGGCTATGTGTGTGTAACATATATATGTGTACAGTGTGGAGTATGGTGGCTATGTGTGCATAGTGTGGTGTGTCTGTGGTGTGATGCATGTGTGGTTGTGATGTGTGTGTGTGGTGTGTGTGTGTGTGTGTGTGTAAGGAAGGTCAATGGGGGAGTGTGGAATGCTTGCCCTCTGCACCTGCCCCACCTGAGGCCCTTGCAGAGTTACCAAGTTCCAGCCCTACTGACCTCTCTCTTTCATCCTTGCTAACAGGAAGAGATCCTGCCACGCCCGGGGGAAGGGGAGAAAGTAGCCAGGAGGCCAAGGCAGGAGGATGAGGGTCACCTATGAGAAGGAGTTGGGCTCTTCTGCCCCAGGTCTTTCCTCATTCTGTCCCTTCCTTGGTCTTGTGTGCACCAAATCCCCAAGACACCACCAAGAGTGTTTGCCAGGTCCCGTGGCTGTGAGCATCTCCTGGATCAGCCTGAACCCATGGCACTGATGAGCTCCTTGTCCCAGCATGAAGTTCCCCCAGCCTTGGGGCTGTGATGCCAACAGGACAGTGTGGTCCAGCACGCTGCCTGGTCTCATCCTTGCAGCAGACTCACTCCCACCATTTCATGAGTTTGTCGTGCAGCTGGTGTGCCTCAGATCCAGGCTAGAGAGCATCTGCCTGGTGCTGCACACCAACGATGGGTGGAGCTGGGCTCTGCAGCGCCTCTGCATGGCTGCCCTTGGAAGAGTCCTGAATGCAGTGCCGTGGGTTCCAAAGGGCCAAGAGGATCCTCTTGTACTCCCTGCGGAAGTTTTGGTTCAGGAGCCCATAGACAATGGCATTCAGGCAGCTGTTGAAATAAGCCAGTAAGTAGCTAGTGACAAATAGCCCCTCAGGGATCTGGGGAGCCATTTCTTGTGGGTTGATGGCCACAGCGAGGCCGATGCAGTTAAGTGGGGCCCAGCAGACGGCAAAGATCACAAACACCACAAACATGGTTAGAAAGCTCCGCAAGTCGCTGGGCCTCAGGCACAGCGTGCTCTCTGGCTTGGCTTTCCTGCGGGCCTGGAGCACCAGCACCCAGATGCGCAGGTAGCAGAAGGACACGACAGCGATGGGGAGGAGAAAGTGGATGACCACCACTGCTGCCGTGTACTGGGTGCTGGCCGTCTGGATGAAGGTGCAGGAATAGATACGTGGGTCGTACTCCAGGGACCCCACAAAGAAGTTGGGCAGCAAGGCCACCACGGTGAGGAGCCAGACAAGGCAGATGTGCAGAGGGGTGTGCCAGCGCCTGTAGATTCGGTGGTAGGCCACGCTGTGGCAGATGTAGCAGTAGCGGTTAATGGCGATGGCAGTGATGTTGAAGACAGAGCCGATGACGCTCAGGCCCATCACAAAGGCGCTGGCCTTACAGTGCTCCTCCCCCAGGGCCCAGCCGTCATAGAAGATGGCCACGAGGATTAGCGGGTAGGGGTACAAGGCCACCACCAGGTCAGCCAACGCCAGACTCACCAAGAACAAATTACCTGAAGCAGCAAACAGAGCAACAGTCAGCACGAGACCCCATGACTTAGATTCTGTAGAACATCCTACCCTTCACCAAGTTACTTTTGGCAACGTGAGTGGAAACAAAGTGGCTCCTAGAGGTGCAGAACTGAAGACTCAGATGCATTTCTCCCATTCACTAGCTATATGACTGAGGCAAGCTATTTAAGCTCTCAGAACCCCATTTTCCTAATTTGTGAGCTAGCGTCAGTGTTACCTACCTCATAGTATAGCTGTAAGAATTAATGATACAAAGTTCTTGGGGATTTGACAGGTGCTCACACATGCTAACTGTTTCCATGATAGGCACAGATGCTCAGGGGCTTTGCGTCATTGAAGCTCCAGCAAAGATTTCAGAGGAGGCGAGTCTGAAAGTCAGGAGTGTGGATTTCTCATCACTACCATCCCTCCCTCTCACTCCCTCACCTCCCCACACATCTCTCTGGTGGTCTCCTTTTGCATTTTCTCACCACTGGTTAACAGGCTACTTACTTAGTGTCTTTAAGTGGCTTTTGTAAATGTGAATTGCATTTTGCAGCTGGGCTAGAAGAAAGGTGTTGAGAGTGGGAACCACGTGTTTCTGGTATTCCCCTTTGTGCCCTGTCTGGGACAGTACTCCCCACCTTGTGGCCATGTTGACAGACACTTGCAGTAGTGGCACTGAGCTCCAGCCCTGTGGGGTGAGGAAGAATTGTCAGCACTCCTAAGCTCACAGCCTCTGGGGGACCTCCCTGCTTTGTCTGCACCATGGCGGCCTTTCTGGACTATCTAGGCAATTATCCTTTGAATGGAGCCTTCTCTAATATCACCAAGCTTGGTCAATCAGAGAGAGCCTCAGGAAACCATACACCCATCAATTAATATGATTCAGGCATGTTCTAAGCTGAAGTCCTAGGGTGGAGGCAGGGCTTACTCCAAAAGAACACAATCTGTGCTCCTCAAGTGTTTGCATTCTAAAACCAACACTGACTCACGAACAGAGCACCGAGAACATAAAAGTTCGGACAATACAAAGCTCATAGTGTGAGCAGTTCCATCGCTAATGCCAATTGTCTCATTCACCAAGTGTTGTACTTTTTGAATACCTACTGTATGCCCAAAAGATAACAGATTCTCCCTCCAGCAGGGGCCCTGAGTGATGCAGTGTGCACTGGGCATGTCTTTCAAATTTTCTGGTCTCTTGCCACATGGTGAAGCCTCTGGTCTTAGGGTGGCTGAATGCAGAGGGTGGCTTGGGATGGCGTGCAGGGGTAACTCCCAAGTCAGCAAAGACACGGACATGGAAACTCCACGGCCACCATGTGTCTGTCCCATTGCCACAGAGGCTGTGATGGCTTCAGGGGTCCAGAGGGTCAGGCAGATGGAAAGAGCCCCCAAAGCACAGCAATTGGAGAGGCCAGGCTGTGGATGGATTCCACAGGGTACAGAAAAAGGGAGGCTGAGAGCCACCCAGCTGGGAGTTCACCTGAGTCAGCCCTTCAAGTGAAGTAGATGCCATACCTGGACTTACCCACAAGGGTAGGGAAAGGACTGCCTCCAGCCTTCCCACATTCACCCCATCTCAAAGATTTCCCGTAGCGTGGTCCGTATGGAGATGGGAACCTGAAAGACCCTCAGGCAGCCTTCACAAAGGACCTATTTTGTCCTCAGAGGTATGCAGTCAACCCCACTCAGAACACATACAAGTCTACTGGAGTCCTGGGAGTTCTCAAGACCTAACTATAATACTACTGTGTCCACAGCTAGGTTAGGAAACCAGGGAGACAGGATGTAAATGAATAGAAAGGAGAATGTCTGGACAATTAGTGTGCTTGTGAAGTAGTGAGCTTCCCTGTCTCAAGATTGTCCAGCAGATTGGATGGCGAAGGAGAATCATGACTCGACTGAACTGCTGGATTCCTACCTACTCTACTATTTACAGATTTATTTACTTCATGGGTTAAAAATGGCCTCATTTCCTTTCTAGTTGGTAAAGCGAGGCAAAAAATGTGCAACAAGGACCTGCTTGGGTTGTGGAGGGGTTTCGTGCCTTTTCATTTAATTCTCAGCCCGTTGGCTGTCTCCACTGCTGGATCTCCATCTCTGACTCACCTACACAGACCTCACTTGGCTCCAGGAACACGAGAGATTCCCTCTCTCATATTGCTTGGCTTCAGCTGAATCAGGAGCCCTTGTCTCCTAGAGTTTTAAGTGTCCTTTTGAAATCTGGAGGGTTGTGCTGAAGTCAGAGCAACCTGGGATAATCTGAGTCCTGCCACTTTCTGGTTGAGTGAATTTGGGCTAGTTCCCGCATTCCTTTCTGGGTGACTATTCCTTCATGAGCTCCCTTCTTTTCTTTCGGAGCGCTGCCACCACTTCCCCCTGCACACTCATAGGGTTGGTTCTGTGAAGAGAATCACTCCTCTCCAGCACAGGAAGATGGGTCTCCACAGGACCCACTGGGCACCTAGCCCAGCAACACACAAGCTCTTGGCACTTGCAAGCTGAGCAGAGAAAGTCAAGAGCTGCTGGGAGCCGGTGCCAGCTCTGCCAGCTGTTTCCCTGGGAAGGCAGAGTCAAGTTCTGCTGTGTTAATGTGGCTTATCCCCTAATAATGCCCCAGAGGCTGGCAAACAGCTTGTAAATAGTAAGAAGAACACATTCAACTCCACGTGGAAAGTGATTCAATTACTATCCCCTATTACTCCGGCTGTTCCTAAAAGGCTGAAATCAACCACTTCCTGCTGCAGATTCATCTGCCCAGACATCCCACTGTCTCCAGGCTTTCTTGGCACAATTCCAAATTAGGTGAGTAAAATTCGTGTTTTGTCTTCCATCTGTAAGGAGCCAGGTTCTATGTGGATGACAGTCAAGGGGAGATCCAGTTCTCCATCCACTTCTTCCCCAGACAGGTGAGAAATCACTCAGTATGCACACAGCACTGCAGTCACCCTGTGCATAATGAATATTTATGTCACGAGTCCTGGCGTGACTTGTTTCCATCTGCCTCCAGCAGAGAGGGTGTATTAGCGGAGAGAGGCTTTGACAACAGGGTTTTGTTCACTAACGTGGAATCCCCTTCCAGGATTCATACGCAGAGTGCATCCTTTCACACACACAATCATCACAGTCTCCTCCCTCTTCTCTTCCTCTCTCTTTCTTTCTGGAAAAAGTATTTCTTAATGGAGACCTGGTACTCTAGGAAAGAGCCAGCCAGTGTTGAGCTATCTAATATTCGTCAGATAGGAGAATTCTGGAAGGTAAAGCTCCCTGTAACCCTTGCCCCTCTTCTGTGTGCTCACCCTTCATGCTCAGAAGAAAAATTTGGTTAAACATAAATTCTCCTTGGTCATTGAGCTAAAAGACAAGATAGAAAGAGAGAATCATCAAGTCATTTATGTGACAAATATTGCTGTGTATATACTAGGTTCTGCCTGTGACTATGCCAGATGGACAGGCTACCTCCCCTTACAAAGTTTATGGTCTCTTAGAGAAGACCATTAAACAAATAAAAACAAGGTGCCAAGAGGGTTATATTGGGGAAGTCAACAAATGATCTATGTTTTCTAACAGTGTTAAACTTTCTGTGCCTTGAGGTCTTCTTCCACTCTTCCATCTGTTTAATAATGTGTAGTAGATTTATTGAGTGCCTACCACATTCAAGTAAGACACAGTGATGGATGAAAAACATGGCCCCTGCCATTGAGATGCCCACGGACCTGTTGGGGAAACAACAGAGAAACAGTAGCCATTCAATGTGGTGAGAGCTGGAAGAAAGGCCAGAACAAGGTGGTGGGAACAGTGGGGAATTTGTGAGTCAACTTGGAACTGGGGACAATGGCAGGCTATGGGGCTGGTCAGGCAGGACAATTCACCAAGGAGCCAGACAAAATTACCAAGACTTTTGCAACAGGACTCCTCCCTCCCAGAATGGCTGTTTACCTTAAATGAGATCTTGTATGGGAAAGGTTATGAGAAATAATAATCCCCAAATTAATGTGAGATATTCTTATTAGTTATGTTCTGGGGATGGGCATTTGAAGTAATTGACCATATAATTTATTCACAACTTGATTTTCAAACAAACACTAAAACAATGCATTCATTGTAAGCTCGTAATTAGATTCCCAAATCTCTTGAGAGCAGATACTTTTTCTTCCAAAGTCACATATTTATGAAAATCTTAGAATGTGTGGATGAATCATACAGGAGCTGAGTTGAAATCTAACTTTGATTTAATTAAAAAATAAGAAATGGCTAATTAATAAAGTACACAGATATATATGGGGGTACTTCAGTCACTTAAAATAAGAAAATATATTTAAAAACATAAGCATCCATTTTTAAAAATAAGATGCTGTTACAAAACATTCTTCAATAACCATCAAAAGAGATCATTTTGAAATTCTGATAGGTAACATTTTATTACTTTACACTTAATAGCAACAAAACAATTGATATAACATGGTAAAGTTGATAGTATAGTTTTACATAAACGGACTCCATTGTTTTTCACAAGAATTCCTTAAGGTTGATAGCATGATTTCTGTTTTATAGATAAAGAAACCCGTTTGTGTGAATTGTTCATAGCCATAACACAGAAAGATTGAGAAAGAAGAAGAAGAGGAGAAAACCAAACAAAAGAAACATCAAGGGAATTAAGAGAAAAGGTGTAGAGAGTTTCTTGGTCATCTACAAAAGTGAGAAAGGGCAGAAAAGTGCTCATTGGACTTGGCAATTAGGATGTCAGCAGTGACATTAACAAGAGAAAATTCTATTGAGTGCTGTGGGATCCAACTTTGCCCTGGAGATTGCTCTATCGGTGTTGCCTTCAAGAGAAGGAGACAGAGAGTGGTGCTTAGGAAGGACTATCCCTTTGATAGGAGACTGTGGAGGCTTTTTTTTCCTTTTCTTTCTCTCTTTCTCTCTCTCTTAAAGGAAAAAGACTTGAATCTGGCATATAATAAGCACCTAGTAATGTAAGCTACTATTTGTTATTGCT